CGAACCAAACTTTCACATCATTCTGGATCTGTCATAGAGATCTGGCTATCCATCTGCAAAAGATGAAAATAGAAGACAACCTTGCCTTGTTTACACAACTTAAAAAACACGGGAGCCATTAGAAAGTTCTGGCAAGGCAAAATACTTATTTGAGAGTTCAGCTTGCCGTTTCACCAGAGAATAGCTCAAGTCCTCACAAGCTGGCCTTTAAATGTTGCTGATCACTGTTATTCAAGTTGGTGCTAATTGGACCCAGAGTGCATTTAGCAAGAACAAAATCAAGATGTTCTTGCCAAACCCGAAAGTATTTATAATAATAAAATAAAGAGCATTTAATAGTCACGTAAGGAATGCTGAATGCAGAGACTGTATCGCAGGAAGGGAATAGGACCCACCTGCAAACGTGCTTCACTCAGACATGCTTAAAAAGGAGAACTATGAGGCAAGTGATTTTCAGTCAACCTCATAGATCGGGAAGTGAGAGAACGCATACCATTGCACGGTCACTTTCCGATCATCTTCCTGCAGGGAGCGGTCACTGTCAGTCACCGCTCCCTGCAGGGATTCCCCCCCTCCCGTGACCCAAAGCTCAGTATATAGCGAGCTGTTGCTTACTATATACCGAGATCGCCGCAGCCGGGTAGGATCCCGGCAATGCTGTTCGTTCCTTCAGTACCCCCTCGTATTCTGACAGTAGTGAGTGTGCCGCTATCAGAATACCTAAACAGGGATCGGAGTTGATGCTCGAGCAAGATTTGTTTTTTGGACCAGACACACACACAATGAATAAAAAAAATGGTTTCCCAAAAGAAAGCAGCTAAGCATTTAAAATACTTTGATTTTATGTTTTTCTGTACTTTTACCTGCAAGTTGGTGACAGGGTCTCTTCAATGCAATTTTCGCCAATGACCTCCAAGTTATTACATGGGTGACAGGGTCTTTTTGATGCAATTTTAGCCAATTAAAAGCAATTATGCCTTTCCTCAAAGTACCCATGGTAAATCAAACCACCTCCATTGTGTCTTTCTTAATGCAAGTAGGTACTGATCAGGAGGAACCTGGTGTAGAGGAAGTTCTAGATCCTCTCATCTATCACTGCCCTCCCAAAGTATCACAGTAAAGCTGGCCATACACCTATACATTATCTGCAGATCTATTATGGTCAGATGGAAAAAGTACAACAGATTCCTCCATCTATGCTGAACCGTGTGTATGGAGGAATCCGCCACTGGGTCAACCTTCAGTATCTTGCCAGTCGGCCCCGCTGGCTCTCAAAACACCTGAACAATCTGATTGGATACAGGCATTGTTGAGGTGTTTTGAGAACCAGTGGGGCCGACTAGCAAGATACTGAAGCTTGGCCCAGTTGGAGATTCCTCCATCTACACAGTTTAGCGTAGATGGAGGAATCTGTTGCACCTTTTCCATCTGACCATAGAAAATCTGCAGATAAATCTGTAGGTGTATGGCCAGCTTTACACAGTTCACAATCTTATAGCAGACTAAAGTAATGGGGTACATTAAAAATTTACAGTACACATGTGAATGTATAGACTGTGTAATGCATTAAAAAGGAAATGTAAGATATCAGAAGGCCAAAAAGCACACAAAATGCAGGTTTAAAAATAAAATAAAAAGTATCAAAATCAGACTGGATCTTTTTATTAAATTCAGAAGCAAAATAAATAAAATCATTTTGTGACCCTGTTTCAGGTAAAAACAGCAACCATATGCTAGACAGTAAAAGTATCAAATGTACAAATTGAAAAATATTATATATGCATAGGTTAAGGTCTCAAACCAGAGAAGAACTACATAGGAAAAATGGGACAGTGGTAACTAGAAACCAGAGTCATGAAGCAGTAGGTGCCCAGACAGGAATGCTACATTCACTCTCACACATGGTCCAGCATCATGGATTAAAGTATTAAAGGGCCAGCGTTCTTATTGCTCAGGCCAATCTCTCAGGTTATTCCTTATAATTTTCACATGAGGATGAGGTTTGGGGGCTACAGACAACACCTTTCATGGATGAGAACCTGTGACCGTGGCCTGCCACTGTCATTCAGAAGTCCACCCTGATGCAGGAAATTAAGGTGGCAATACTCAGGATTACTACTCTTATGGGGGCAGCAGGGATGAGTGGCAGCAGTTATGTTTTTGTCCTCCTCAAACTATACCTAAAATCTATAAGACGTGATCTCCCGCAATAAAAGTAGAGAACTGTTGGGGACCCATTTGAGGAGCTAAGGTAGGTTTCTCTGCCACTGCTGAGCACAGTCCTATATTTTTCATGCTAATACCGCGTTTCCCCGAAAGTAAGACCTACCCCGAAAGTAAGACCTAGCGCTATCTTCAGGGATTTCTGTAATATAAGACCTACTCTGAAAATAAGACCTAGTTCGGTGGTAGGTCTTATCCCTGAAGATAGCGCTAGGTCTTACTTTCGGGGTAGCTACACATAACTGATTTTTAAATGTAAAGACCGGCCACAGCTCCCGCCCCTGATGGAAGCAGCATATCCTCCGCCAACTTCGACACCAGGACCAGCACGCCGCCTTCCGGGACCTTGTCCAGTCCTGTGAGTATTCCTCCCCCAGCCCGGTAAGACATCCCCCCGAAATAAGACCTAGTGTCTTTTTTCGTGTTTCCCAATGCAATGTCTCTTTACACAAGCTACAAATACAGAAGAATACTTGTTGATCTATTATAAATCCAGCGAGCTTCTCAGTTCCTATACGAGCTGGTAAGACAGTGCTTCAGAGTTAATGATTCATTCGGCAATTCACTTTAGCCTTGGGGGCAACCTCACATGAGCAGTGTTGTGGGCACATAGACTTCAGGTTTAGCTCAATTCCTGACCGCAGTCTCTGATTACACATGTAGTCCCAACACAGCTAAAAACTGCTGCTATTCTTATTTCCTAAATATGATCTAAATTTGGCGTGTGTGTACAAAAGAGACATGGTGACAAAACCTACTGCTTACTGGCCATGTAGGACAGAGACCTGTGCCTTACAACATGCAGTGGACTGAGTCAGGGAGAAAAATTTATATATATATATATATCAATAACAAAAACGCAGTATTGCAGTGTGCAATGATACCTTTCTTATTGGACTAACAAAATATATAAAAGACAAGCTTTCGAGAGTGAACCTCTCTTCTTCAGGTCAGAAGCAATACTGATCAACATGACAGTTTGTCAGTTAAGACAGGAGAAAGCTGTTAGGAGGGGGGAGGGGTGTCATAAATGTTAGACCTGGGAGTAAGCAATGCCTCCTGATAATCAAAATCTGTCTTTTGATTATCAGGAGGCATTTTTTACTCCGAGGTCTAACATTTATGACACCCCATTAACCCCTCCCCCCTCCTAACAGCTTTCTCCTGTCTTAACTGACAAACTGTCATGTTGATCAGTATTGCTTCTGATCTGAAGAAGAAGAGGTTCACTCTCGAAAGCTTGTCTTTTATATATTTTGTTAGTCCAATAAGAAAGGTATCATTGCACACTGCAATACTAAGTTTTTGTCTTTTTTGACATCTTGTCTACTGGACTAATACGGCTTACACACACACACACACACACACACACACACACACACACACACTTCGCACCATTCCTGGGCTAATTAAAGTACGCTATTTAAAAGGAAAACTATGAGGCGAGTGAAAATCCCTCAGCCTCATAGTTCTAGCCGACCTGTGACAAACTGTCACGCTTGGCTCAATAGATATCATCGCTCACTTCTTGATCCTGTCCCTGCAGAGAGCTGTGAATGTCACTCACGGCTCCCTGCAGGGATTCCCCTCCCCGGTCTGATCCTCCAGCGCTGACTGGCAGAACAGATGGGGGAGGGCACAGCCTCCGCTTAGGCAGAGCCAGCTGTCACTCACACAGCTGGGTGGATCGACAGTAATGTCGGGATCCGTCCCGGCTGCGGCGTCTCAGTATACTGCGAGCTGTAGCCCTCAAGCCACCCTTCAGTCAGTCTACTACAAGCATTTGTAGGCATCACAAAAATATGACTCAACCGATACTCAGTGAATTCTATAGTGATCCTGTCAGCCATTTTAAAGTTTACAATGTAAAAGGCCTGCGAAAGAGCAAGCAACTGGAAGGCCGGTGCTCCAACAAAAAGTTAAATTTGATGCTGCTAAGACATAGGACTTAAAAACGTTTCACCATTCGTTGATACATGAGCTAAGCAATTTTGTAAATCCTTTTTCCCACACTGGCAGTGAATTGCACTTTGCAGAGATTATAGTCCTGCCCTGCTACCTAGCTCAAGAGAGGAGACAGAGACCTGCTGCCACCAAACACAAGAAAAAACATCTCTGCTGCCCAAACCAAGGTAAGAGCCAGAGAATTAACCTTCGCACAGATTTCAACCAGCTCAGGTGAGGAGGGAGATTGCTGTCCCCCAGCTGAAGGGAGGAGGGAGAGAGAACATTGCCACCCAAGCTAAGAGAATGAAAAACCCCCAAATGCTTTCCATCTCAGGAGAGGATTCAGAATGTTGCCACTAAGCTGAAGGGTTACAGAAAGCAATGCCTGTTGCACTGAAAAAAGCCAAGGTTGGGTAGTTGCAAGGAATTACATTTCACGAATATTATGGAGCACCATCTTAGCAAATGGGATTAACTGGGTGTAGAATACTCAGAGGTAAAAGTGTTTGAGCTCATAGTGCTTCAATTGTGATATCAAGAAAAGATTATAGATGATTATCAGGCACTTAACTATAGAATAAACTTTAGATCCCACTTTACAAAGAGTGCTGAAATAACCGATCCCCAGTAAAAAAAAAGAAGAAGAAGAAGGAGGTTCAGTAATAAAGGGAATGAAATTCTGCGACTAGTTGACTAAAATCTGTTGCCTTTTTTGTCAGGGAAGTGCTGGAATAGCATCTGGGTCAATTCTACATCCATATTTTCCTTTTTGTAGATCAAGACTAGGGATCAGAAAGAAAAATACCCCCCTCCCTTACTTTCTACAAAAGCCTACCAAACAACAAGCGTGTGAAATAAATAAGAAATCTGAGTTCAGCATCTTTATAAATAAATATTTCCCAGACAGGTCCTGTGCTTCTGGCAGCAGTGTCAAATGGTGCAGAGTGTGATGGAAAGAAGCATCCGAAACCTTCAGAGATCCTGTTCACCAGCAGCAGTACTTGACGCTTTCGATGGGTCTCTCGAGGATTAAACCAATTCTGTTCGAGGTCATTTTTCGAAATGCCAGGATGGCTTCGGGGGTCAGATGCAGGTTATTTGAAATATCCAGAACACGCAAAGAGTACAAGTTGGCTAGAACAACCAGAGCGTCTTCTGTCAACCTAGTGCTACTGCAAGAAAAGGGACAGTCGTTTAATAGCAAGTGTGAAATTGTACAAAATAAAAAGCAGCAAAAAGGGCAACTGTCATTAAATCCCAACTCCAGACGTGTTTTAACATTTGTTTAAAAATTTTCGATAGAGTGGGAAACTTTAACATCTCTGTCAGGTTTTTACTTTGTTTTCATTAATTGGGGAGATTTTCACCTCTCATCCTCACCATATGACAGTAGGGATGAGCTCAGGTTCCAGTCCAAACCTCAGCTCCTCCAAGCCCTGAACAAAGCCCCATCCTAGCCTGCCCTATAAGCTGCAGCTGGGGAATTTCCCCTGCCGGTGTACATAAGCAAACAGGCGTGATGAGACATCACTGACCTTTAACCCCTTTATGACGGAGGCCTTTTTTTCATTTTTTGCACCCATGTTATATACAAGCCCCCCCATGTGATAGCAGATGGTGGTGACAGGTACTCTTTAAGGTGATGCTGGGGGTCCAAAAGACCCCCAGTGTCACCTTTACACTGGAAATAAGCTATTGAAGTGCAGATTGAAGCTATTGAAGTGCAGACCCTTCAGGACGCAGAAGCGATCTGGCGACAGGTAAGTCGCCAGGATCGCTTCTGTTGTAAAGCCGACAGTCGGCTCTACAAGTTTAAACAGAGTCCCGGCGGCAAAAGTCACCGGGAGTCTGTTTAAACAGCCCCGATGCTGGTGACGTACACTGTACGTCGTCAGTCACAAAGGGGTTAATGGCCACATTTAATAGCCACCCTCCAGAAGGATGGACAGTGTTAGCACCAATTCAGAGATGATTGAAGGATCTACAGCCGAGTGATACACAAATAAGATACATTTTTGTTATTAGTTAAAGGAGAACTATGAGGTGAGTGCTTTTCACTCACCTCATAGTTCTAGCCGACCTGTGACAATGAGACCGTCACAGGTCGGCTCAGTAGATCGGGAGGTGAGCGAACACATATCGGCGTTCGCTCACCTCTCGATCCGGTCACGGCTCTCTGCCGTGACAGGGGAGGGGTTGGATTCCCCCCTCCCCTCTCCGATCCTCCAGCGCTGACTGGCAGAACGGACAGGGGAGGGGGTGGGTACAGCTGGCTCTGCCTCTAGATAGGCAGAGCCAGCTGTCAGTCACGCAGCTGGGCGGATCCCGGCACAATTGGCGGGATCCGCTTCAGCGTCTCAGTATACCGCGAGCTACAGCTATTGGTATACTGAGCCTAGGGTGACAGGAGGACGCTAGTTTGTATCCTTCCGTTACCCTAAGGAGAACTATGGGGAAAAGCCCTAACCCCATAGTTCTCCTTTAAGGTACTTGAATGTATTTTTAAGGTTGAACTTCTGAATTTAGTTTAGTGCCACTTTATATATCGCAAAATATTGTATTTGGAGATGTGTGTGTGTGTGTGTGTAAAATATATACGGCATGATAATATCTATTAATAATCTTATTCATATGCATAGATTTAGATTTTTATGACCTTGACAGGGTTGTCTGTGAATGTTCTCATTTATCCAGGTCATGTTATAGCTGTAAAAAATAAGTCAAGGCAACTGGATTCGCTGTATTTTTCTTGAAGACGTTTCACTGGTCATCCGTCCAGCTTTCTCAATTCAGAATGACTGAAGCAATTCTCTGGGAATAAATATGGTGAATGTTGATCCAATCAACCTTGACAGGTTTGCTATAAACTATTACACCCCCCAATGATGCCTACAAATGGTCAACGATAATGTAGTTTAAATATTTCTTGTAAAATACCAGACACATGGTTGCCACTTTGGCTACCCCTGCCCTAGTCAAAACATTCCTAGACGCAGTCTCCGTGTTGGATTACCTGAGGTAGAGATTTTGCAGGTGCGGAAAAAGCCGTGGGAAACTTTTCACCATTTCTTGGTCGTAGCCATGGGAGAAGCTCAGGTTCAGGCACTTCGCCTGGCTGGCGCTGCGGGAGATCCAGGTGAGAGTCGCGTTGGAAATTTTAGTCCCTATCACGCTCAACTTTTCTAATTTAGAACATATTGGACCAATAAGTGGCACAAATGGTGCAGCCCCTGGCAAACAAATACATCAGTCAGCCTGGAACAATAAACACTCAAAAGGCATAGCTACGCTTTTTTTCTTCTTACATTTCACTTTCTACACTTCTAGTCTTAATTATTATTTTATTACAGCAATGAATAAAAAAGGTAATCATTTGACTATACACAAGGTTTGCCCCGATAGACTGCACCTGATTTTCTTGAGAGTTTCAAGAATGTTTAAGTTCAGTTTAGATCATGCAATGTAACTGGCCATCTCAGCAGATTGGTCAATGGCAAACATCCAGACATTTACAGCTGTAACTAAAAATAGCAAGTCAAGGGGCCCCAGCATAAACAATTTGAACTAGTGATGCACTGATACCTGTACTAGTACATGTCCAAATGCTTCTATACCGGAACTTCCGGTCAGAGAAACATTTCCTCTGACCTGCAGTGCTAAAGGGGAACATGGAGCTGGCTTCCCGGGCAATCAGGAAGCAGGGTGGCGAGTAATGACCCACCTCCCTGATTGGCCGGGAAGCACGCTTCTCAGCCAACATTCCAGTCCCATGGTGATGGACTGGAATGCCATCTCCCCAGTCAATCACAATCGAGCGGGCCAAACATGGAGCCAGCTTCCCGGGCAATCAGGAATCCGGGCAGCAGGTCATTACCCACCGTCTAGCTTCCTAATTGCCCAGGAAGCCGGCTCCATGCCATCCCAAGCACCAGTACTCCGTATCGGCGAGTAACAAAAGCAAAATAAAAATTAAAAAATCGGTACTCGATACCGAAAAAACGGTCTTGGTGTATCCCTAATTTGAACCATGAAAACTATTTGCATTACAAGGAACACCACGTTCCTTGTGATGCAAATCATTTTCATGGTTCAAATAGTTAACTAAAGGAACAGTAACTGGACTATCTCTTTAAATCTACAACATGTTCATGGAGCAAAATGAGGGACTGTAAAATATATTTTATCTCCTCCCCATAATTCTTTAGAGGTCAGTACAATCTGGCAGCTGCTGAAGAGTTACACCACCATGTGGTTTCTTATATCTGTTTGGGACTCCAGTGGTTAGATCTTTGTACTTAAAATGACTGCCACATTACCACAAGAATACAAATTATGCCACGCCAATATCTAAAGCAGCTTCCAGTGCCCCAGCTTTGCCCTGGTGCTGAGCCATTCTAACCATCCAAAACTTTGACACTTCCTGGTAGTGTCAGAGCCTGATGGGCTACCTAACTGGCAACAGGAATGAGACAGGAGGGGCAGGCTTCGACACTATCAGTCAATGAAGATGAATCCTTATACTCCAGGCTGCAACTTTTCCTTTTTCTTAAACAGCAACAGACTTCACCCATTTCAGTGCAAAAAAGTGTCATAGGTGACCTCTGCTGCTGTTTAATAAATAGCGGCTAGAGCCTGGAGTGCGGAGATTTATTCTCATCATCCAATTCACCGGAGTGCAACGGGTCAGACTGGTATCTGGGAATTGTGTAGTGGAGCCTGTGGTGAGCCACTCACCTTGAGCAGTAGACATATCTTCATGTGGAACTTCTGACACTACCAGAAGGTGCCTAAGCTTTGTCCAATCAGAACGGCCCAGTATTTGGGCAGAGTGGGAGTACTGAAATCCATTGCAGGCATTTGTACTTTATATACCGGTCAGCAGTATTTTTTTTATTGTTGTTAAAGTAAGTCACTTTAAGTTCCCATATCTGCACAGATGCTCCAGCCATTGAGAGGGCATGTGGGGGGTTGTCTGACCCTTCCTTTCCATTATGTAAGATGCAATAGAGAGGGTGCAAGCACCCACAGGTACAAAGAATTGCCTAAAATTCCAAGGCAGGTAGGCCTGAAATTCCAAGGCAGGTAGTACAGAGCTAAACATTACAGGAGGAGCGCAACCTCAGAGATAGGTGATATAGGGGAAGCCAAATGGGGACTCAGGCCACCAGACTCCACCTATAACAAATATCTTGGGTGAACTGACCCTTTATTCTACCAAATACCAACATGCACCCAAATAAGGACAAAAAAAAAAAATTATATATACACATGAAAACAAAAACAAAAAAAACTGTCCCGCACCTGATAGCAAAGAGGGAGAGCTCTGCCACTGGGACTACTTTCCCCTTGTCAAGGCTCAACACACACTGAGGTTCCAGGAATAATCTACATCTCACCCCATGGAGGAGGTAACAGAAGGTTCCAACCCTGGAGGCACAGGGAGGACACGAGAAGACAAAGTGGGGTGAAAGGAAGAGAAGTGACAGGGAAATGAGGAAGTTAACGCTTACGTTTCAGTTTGTTTTTTTTGTCAGGAGCGAATTGTCAATTCAGAAGCAGAAGTGCAGCGAGACTTACATTCGATGCGCAACTCAGTCAGTTGGGGGAGCTTTAGGAGAAGGGTTTCAATGAAATCTTCGTGTTGCAGATATTTATAGTGCCGCAAGCATACGCTCCTCAAAGTGGACAGCTGATGGAAAGCGTTGGTGGAGAGGCTGGCACAGCTAGAGTTAATCAGTTCCAACGTGTGCAGCTGTAGCCGTGAGATGCAGGGTTGCTCTGGATCAAAAAAGAGAAAAAAAAAAAGACAGTATAAGCAATGGGCAATCTACGTATATGGGCAAAGCATCATTTAAACAGAAACTTGTCCTGATAAAAACGCAGGCTGCCATTTCTGAAACCGCCTCTAAAAATCAGAGTTGACTGGCATCTCTGCTTTCAGTACTTTGGGTCATTCACCCCAGACAGAAGTGCAACATGCAGAACACTTATCTGCATAGCTGTTAAGGGTCAGTGAAGGGTGGACATATTAATATGGAATTCAGGATCCAGTTGTGTCCATTCCAGGAGCCAGCACGTTTTTTTTTTTTTTAGGAGCCAGCTCCATTGAGAACAAGTAACCACAAAATAAAAAAGGTACCAGCTGCAATTTTTAAGGAGCATTGGCTCCTGGGAATTGCCCAGCCCTGGGTCGGCTCTTCGCCCTCATTCACACGAGTAACGGCCGGCCTGTACAGATCCGTGCTGCGTGCGCGGCCGTATCGGGCAGCTCCCTGGAAGGACAAGTGCTGCGTGTGCTTATACGCAGTAGTCTGTCCTTCTCTATGGGAGCACGCGGCTGTACGCTCATCCGACCTGCACGTCCGTACTCGTACGCCGACAGGATGGATCCTGTCTGCGTGTGAGCGGGGACACGCACCCGTACTGACGTGCAGGTCGGGTAAGCGTAGGGCCGTGTACTAAGAGGTGAAGCTACAGGCATGTCACCTGTCCAGATAATATTTATGCAATCCAGGTTTTCGGTTATGCCAATGTCATCGACACTCACCTTCTGCTGTAGATACAAAGTTATCCGGAACATTAAAGCACAGGGATAGCTTCCATTTATTCATGTTCCCAATAGCAAGAGAGAGCTCGCGAAGCTTTGGTAGTCTAAACAGAATGTACTGGAGAGCCCTTTCAGGGACAGTGCCTTCATTAGAATGAAGTGAAAGAGAGTACAAGTTCTGCAGCAGGACTATGCTGGTTAACGGCAGGACACCTGAGAACGACACTCGGCATAGAGACAAATGGGTCAGTTGTTGGAAAAGTGCAATCTCTGAAAAAATGTCTTGATCCATCAAGTTGGAACAATCTGTCAAATGCAACTTCTGAAGGTTCACCAGCGGCCTTAGTCCTTGGAGGACCTCCCCTTTCAAGCAAGAGTCCATCGTGACGCTGGTCAAGTCCGGCAAGGAACTGGTCATTTTCTTGAACTGTTTCAATGTCACACGGGTCACCTCCACAGAGGTGATCTTCCGGCTCTGCAGAGTGTCCCAGAAACGAGCATTAAAAGTCCCTATGCTCTGGAAGACAATGGTGCTCTTTTTCCATAGGGAGGGGTGGTCAACCAGTGTCCGGAAATATGGGCATGTGGCCCGGACGTTCGCCTTTTCTGCCGGGGAAAGGTATGCAAATATGTGCAAGAGGACTTCTTGAGGCAACTGGAGCCATTGTATCGATGGCATCTTTAAAGCGGGATATTTGCACTGCAGTCCTACACAGCAAAAAAAAAGAAAATAAAGGGGAAACTTAAATATCTGCAAAATGTACATGAATGTCTTATACAAATAACCAATCCAATAAGCTGTGATTTCCACTACAAAACAGATAAAAGAAAGATCAGTTCTAGTAGCTAATGTAGGCAACTGCGCCATAAATAGAGTTCTCCTTGAATGAAATATTGTTCTCCTTCAATGAAAACTAATCCCTGGCTAGCACATAGGGTGGTGTAGTTGAGCTTGTTTTATAAACATGTATGTGGTGATTACCTGTAATATTAGTATTCAGTATATACTCCTCACACACCACTTCATTCATTTTCTTTCTCTACATTTATATACATATCCGGCAAAGCTGATGGTTACAGGGGTTCAGACAACCATACTGACCTACAATGGTCAGATTTTATTCCTATGGCTTAACACCCCCCCCCACCCCCCAAAAAACATGAGTTGATTACCTGATAACTCTGTTTCCAGGAATCTTCCAGGACAGCCATCGAGATATAGGCTCCGCCTGCCTGCAACAGGAAACACATCAACCACATTAAATAAATAGACTCCTCCTTCTATCCCAAGTCAGTAACCTCTAGGACCGAAGGCTACCCCATGTACTACCGTATCCCCTCCGCCATCCAATCACGGATGCTCCCTGGATACACACCAAGGGCAGGAACAGGCTGTCCTGGAAGATTCCTGGAAACAGAGTTATCAGGTAATCAACTCATGTTTTCCCCAGTCATCTTCCAGGACAGCCATCGATAGGATCAGTGAGGACAAATCTTACCTCTTAGGGTGGGACCACAGCTTGCAGGACTTTCCTGCCAAATGCCTGGTCTTGTTGAGTCACAAGGTCCAGCCTGTAGTGCCTGACGAATGTCTGGAAGCTGGACCACGTAGCTGCTCTGCAGATCTGGTCTGGAGTAGCCCCTGCTTGCTCTGCCCAGGACGTAGCCCATGCTCGAGTCGAGTGTGCCGTGAGAGTACCTGGCAATACCAAGCCCTGTGCCTTGTAAATCTCCGTTATGGCCATTTTAATCCACCTCGCTATCGTGCTTTTAGTGGCCCTGTTCCCCTTGGCGGGACCCCCAAAAACTACAAAGAGATGGGTCGACTGCCTCCAAGGTTTCGTCACTCGGAGGTACTCCAGAACGCACCTACGAACATCAATCCCTTGCCATTCCCGCTCCCTAGCAGAGGTCGGGTTAGTGGCAAACGAAGGCAAGACTACTTCCTGAGTCCTGTGGAAAGTTGAAACCACCTTCGGCAGAAATGCCGGGTCCGGTCGCAGAATAATCTTATCCACCAGAATGGTGCAGTATGGCTCTGTAATGGAGAATGCCTGAATCTCGCTCACTCTCCGTGCAGAAACCAATGCTACCAAGAGGGCTGTTTTAATCATCAGGTGATGAATGGAACACCCCCCCAGGGGCTCGAAAGGCTGCTTGAGAAACCCTTGTAGCACCACCGAGAGATCCCAGTTTGGCACAGCCTTACTCTTCGGGGACTTCATTCTGGCCACTGCTCGCATAAACCGTTTTATGAGAGGCTCCTCCGCCAGTCTAACGTCCACGAAATTAGACAGTGCAGAGACCTGTACTTTCAAAGTACTACAGGATAGCCCCTTTTCCAGGCAGCCCTGTAGGAAATCCAACACCAATGGGACTGTGGCACCCACAGGCCTACCTTGACTGCTGTACCAGCTGGAAAACACTTTCCACACTTTTAGGTAGCTCGCCGATGTCACCGGCTTTCTACTCTGCAGCAGCGTAGATGCAACCTGTGCAACCTGTGCTGATAACCCTTTGTTAATCAACACCTCCCTCTCAGAAGCCACGCAGCTAAGTTTAAAGCTTGTACCTGCGGGTGTTTCACCGTGCCCCGCATCAACAAATCAGCCGCTGGCGGAAGAAGCAGAGGCCCCTCCACACACATTTCCAGAAGGGTCGTGAGCCACGGCCGCTTCTGCCAATATGGCGCTATAAGAATCAACTTCATCCGTTCGCCCCTGAGTTTCCGAAGCACATTCGGTATTAACTGCAGAGGAGGAAATGTGTAACCTAGACTGAACCTCCAAGGGTGCACTAAAGCGTCCACCCCTAGGGCTCCGTCGTTCCTGGAGAGGGAAAAAAAATTGTTCCACCTGCCTGTTGTTGGCTGCTGCGAAGAGGTCTACACACAAGCTGGTGATCCATGCAAATGTTCTTGCGTTCAGAGCCCACTCTGACCTGTGCAGTTCCGTCCTGCTGAGGGAGTCTGCCAGCTCGTTCAGGCTGCCTTTGATATGCCTCGCCGTCAGGGAGAGGAGGTTGTGCTCTGCCCAAGTCAGAATACTCGTCGCCAATGCCATAAGGCCGTGCGAACGCATGCACCCCTGCCTGTTTATATAGGCCACTGCTGCGGCATTGTCTGAGGCCACCGCTACATGCCGACCTGCTAAAGTATCCTGAAACTGGCAGAGCGCTAGCTCTATCGCCTTGAGCTCCCTCCAGTTTGATGATTGGAGGCGGCCCACGTGCTCCCAGGTATCCTGCCAGATGTGCTCCAGGCAGTGTGCACCCCACCCCCAGGCACTGGCATCTGTCGTGACCACCAGTGGTGTAGGCTGGCACCATAGTCTGCCGACTGAGAGGTTCCGACAATCCATCCACCACAGCAGGGAACGCTTGATTTCCTCTGTGATGTGAACCACTTTGTCCAAGTCCACTAGCCGACTTCCCCAAACCCTCAACAGCCAATTTTGTAATGGCCTTGAGTGGAACTGTGCCCAGGTAACCGCTGGGATGGTGGACGTCATGAGCCCTACCATTCTCATAATCGACCTGACCGAAACTGTGCACTGTAACTTCAGTCTCAGCGACTCTTCTACCAATAGAGACACCTTGTCTCCTGGCAATGTAATGGTCATGTCCTGGGTATCGATCCAATAGCCCAGAAACTTCACTCTCTGCGCTGGGACCAGTTGTGACTTCTCTCTGTTCACCAACCAACCCGGACTCTCCCAAGTGCCGCATAGCCCACTCCAGTTTTTGTTGGAGTACCAGTGCTGACGGGGCAAAGAACAAAAGGTCGTCCAAATATGGAATGACCCCTACGCCCCGCCCTCTTAGAGGAGCTAGAGCCTCTGCCAGCACTTTGGTAAAGATTCTGGGTGACGAGGAGAGGCCGAACGGCAGAGCCCTGTACTGGAAGTGTAGGTCCCCTTATTGCAAATCTCAGTAGGTATTGTGACGACTGTTTCACTGCTATGTGGAAATAGGCGTCTCTCAAATCTATGGTCGCTAGAAAAGATCCTGGGGGCAGCAACTCTCGTATTGAAAATATAGATTCCATCCGGAACCTTTTGTACAGTACCACCTTGTTCAGAGGTTGCAGATTGAGAATCAGTCTGCATTTCTCCGAGGGCTTCACCCTGGAAAAAATGTGGGAGTAAAACCCCCTCTTCTCCTCTGAGGCCGGTACTCTCATAATGACCCTCTGGTCCAATAGATCCTGAAGGGCCCCTGTCATTGCCTCCGATCCCTTCCGGTCCCTGGACAGGGAAGTAATCAGAAGCCTGGACGGGGGCCGCTCCGTCAATTCTATTTTGTAGCCGTGCAACACCAGCTCCAAAATGAATTTGTTGTCGGTCAACTCCCTCCAGAGTGGGAAGAATTCCCCCAATCTTCCTCCCACCCTTAGCCACCAGTCATTGGGATTTATTGGGCTGCTGCTGAGGGGCTTCTTCCCATAGAAGCCCCTTTTTTCTTTGCGGAAATTCTGCCCCCTTTGGCCACGAAAAAACTTTTTCCCCTGTTGCTTGGGCGGCAGTGGGAAACCTTTCTTCTTATCTGCCGATCTATCCAGCACTGCCTCCAGCTCTTGGCCAAAGAGCAAATCACCTTGAAAAGGTAACCCGCACAATTTTGCTTTAGAAGCTGCATCCCCAGGCCAAGTCTTGAGCCACAACGCTCGTCTGGAGGAGTTGATCAGTGCCTTGGTCCGTGCTGAGTACCGGACTGCTTCAGCCGAGGCATCCGCAATATAAGCGGCAGCCTTACTCAGTACCGGGAGGGAACCCAAAACTTGGTCACGGTCAGTACCAGACTCCAGGTGGACCTGCAGCTGATTCAGCCACACACCCAACGTCCTGGCCACATAAGTAATGGCCAGTCCAGGCTTAAACCCCGCACTCGCCGATTCCCATCCCTTCCTGAGCAAAGCCTCCGCCTTCCTGTCCATCGGGTCTTTCAAAGCCCCCATATCCTCAAATGACAGGTCAGTCTTTTTGGAGACTTTCGATAAAGAGGCATCTATCTTAGGGCACTTGTTCCAAAGGCCTGCATCCTCCTCCGCATCCTCCTGCATCCTCCTCCTGCGTTTGTGACCGGCCGAAAAAAACAAACACTCTCTTTTCCGGGTGCTTCCACTCCTCTTGGATCATGTCCGAGAGTGATTTATGGACCAGGAAGGTGCGTCCCTTTTTGGTCTGAAGCCCTTTGTACAGCTTGTCATGCACCGAAAGCTCAGCGGATTCTTCTTTAATACCCAGAGTATCTCCTATAGCTTTCAACAGCTCCCGTTTCAAAAGAAGGAAAAAGGAATTTCGTGGCTGAACTGCCACGCAACTCCCCTTCTGAGTCCTCGTGATCCTCAGACTCCTCCTGAGATCCAGAGGATTCACTGGGAGCTCGGCTGCTCGCACAGCTTTCTGCGTAACCCACAGAGCTCCCTTCCCCCGACGTTCCGGGCAAACTAGTAGCCACTAGTGTACTCACCGGGGTCTGGAGTGCCGACCTGAAAGACTGAAATGTAGTAACCATTTCATCCCTCATTGAATCCAAAAGCCCTTTAAACATACCAGCTGATTCTTTTGCAACTATTTTGTCTAAACAATTTTTGCACAAGGGTTTGGACCATGAAGCTGACATCTTGGCATTGCAAGAGGCACACTTCTTCCCTTTTTGGCGAGAGCAACCAGCGTCAGCGAGGGGCTTATCCTCCGTGGCTTTG